TAACTTCTCCTTTCCCTCTCTCAAAATCACAGCCAAACAAAACGACAATTTTATGTCCCTACTTCCACAAAATAAAAAAAAAAAAAAAAAAAAAAGTAAACTCGCGACGGACTACATAAATGCTGTGCTTCGCACCGCATTAAATAATGAGTGAATAGTAACAATGAAAATAAAAAATAGGGCGCCCGTCGGAAAACGAAAAATAAAAAATTCTTTATTTTGCACCTTCTGTATTTCGTATTAATATAACGAAGCTGAAGAACGTATGTGAGTTCTACATTTCAGCCCCAAAGGGGCTGCGCTAACAAGCTTTTTTTTTGACATTTAGAAAAAGACGGTATGATATCGATTCATCCATTGAACTTTCAAAATCTACTTGACTTATACTTACGGATCTTTCTCATGATGAATATATGCTGATATTCAATTTAATTATGCGTGATCTTTTAGCAATTGCGCAAATTTATCATTTGAAAATATCTAAAAAAAACTATCTGTTCTGATATATTAATGGACATAATACATAAATTATCTGCACTTGATACATTAAAAATATCTTCTTTTACATTATTACAAACTAGATTTTTATCTATCGAAGATAACAATTTTCGTTTTATATCAAATAAAAATAATATTACGATAGTTTATTTGGAAAAAATGTTTTCAATTGAAGAAATTTATTTTCTTATCAGATTTTGTCCTCGTATAACATATCTCAAAGTTGATTTTATAAATGATATGAATATTAAATTATTTGTCAAAGATATTTTAAAGAAAATTAATAATGATTGTAATCAAAATGTTTGTTCAATATGTATTCATAGTCCAACAACAGATAATGAAATCATTCAAAAATTAGAAGAAATGATTAATCGTGAGAAATTACTTCATAATCTTACAATTAAATCTATAGTTGACAACATCTATTTGCAATGAAACTAATTTATTATATTGAATGTTGTGCTTACGCTTGCATTGAAGTTCGAAATTAAAAAAAAAACAAGTTAAAGTTCATTTATTCAAGAAATTCAGTTTTTTTACTTATATATTGTTCGATATAGATTAGAAAGAAACGATTGTTTAACCTAGCATACTCTTAGAAAGAAAACAGGAATGAATAACCGAATATCTTACATTTGTTTTTAATATAAAAGTAGTTCATCACGCTTCACTGCTCTTTCTTAATTATTCGACAGTGGTAACCTTGACGATGTCTTTTATTGATGGTTTTGACATCGTTACTCCTGTTCACCCATACCGGAACTCATTCTATCAAAAGTTCATTTAATCTTTGCAAAAATAAGTATCGTAGTAATTTACAAAGAATGACTTATTTCAATTAGATTACTGATTTTTTTTAAATTTTAAGTTTAAACAATTTAATGCAATTTTGTTGCAGCTAGCGACATCTAAGTTCTTAGAGGTTAAATTAGTTATTGTTTCTTAGAATTACTTTTAAATAAAATAATAAATTATATATAAAAACCTTTGTTACATATATAGTACTATTGTTTGTGATTTAACAATCAAACAAAAGACATTTTCTGAAGAAAACCTTGAAATCTCAATCTATTACACAGAAAAGACGCTTGAACATGCTCAAGAAAAATTGCCAATCTTAATATACTGTTTCTTTGCAGTAACAGTAGAAATTGCTTTTTTTCCATGAATGAGATGAAGATATAATAGTTACTATTCGATCTAGTTTCAACATCGTGTACGAGATCAAATGTAATAAGTCTCAATTGAGTTTATGAATCATGTAAATTTTCTTTTGATTTATTTGAGTGTGTTACATGAAAAACTGTTTTTTGACATTCGATAACTACAATCCAATATTTGGTTCGCTAATATTTCTATGAAAATCTGTCTACACTAAGTGGCTAAAACAACCAGACTAACCCAATGTAAATTAGTATCATATCTTTATTTATAAAGATAAAGAAGCTATTTCTCTTTGCTTTATAAATATAAATTAATATCCTTAATATCATTCCTTTCAAATGAATCTTCGTTTTTTTTGTCACAAAAATGATTTCTTGCGTTGTATTTCGTGATAGAAAAGTCTCTAATTTCTTTATCATCAACAAATGAGACATTGTACCAAAGATTATTGACTGAAGATATCAAAGTCAACAAGAAATTTTCGTGAGAAACCAAATGCTTTCTATGGACGTGTGCTATTCTATTTATTTTTTGTATCTTATGTTAATTGGGCAAATAAACGTTGATAATAAATAAAACGATCAAGATGATCGCTGAAACTGAAAAATATCTCAAGTTCAGCAAGATATGATTCATCACCCTATGTAAGTCACCATTTTTCTATCGTCTTTTCAACAATGACACCACTATGACTGATCTGTATTTGGATTCGTCAAAGTGTTTCGATAATTTTTCTCTATAAACGTTTTTCGGGAAAAACCAGAAGTACCATTAGGTAGGGGACTCATTTTCTCTATCGATCAGTATTGATTTTTCTTCCGGAGTCTAAAGCAATATCAGAGAGCGCCACACATACTGCATTTTATATTGATTCGTTTAACTTGCTAGCTTTCTCTGTTCTGTCGACGTACTAAAGTATTTGTCTTGAATATCTTTTCTAAAAGTTTAGATCTCTGCACCGTAAAATGTCTGTTGATAATGATTCGTGTTTCTGCCATTGGTTCATTCTGTAAGCACACATAGTAATGAATCATGAAAACGTTGAACATTTGTTGACGTCTTTTACAACGCGCTAGCAATGCAGAACGATTCAAGAGTGGTATTGGTGATGACAGTAGTAAGCAGTTATTTATCGGCCACACTGAAGAGAAAGAAAAGAAAAAAAACAGGCACAGAGCGGAGTTAATGATTCACGTTAGAAATATTAATGTTTATTTTACGTATTGAGAACGTCAATGATGTTGTCGTCTCAAAAATTTTCAAACTGTAAGTTTGAAAGCGCATAGAAAACAATCTAATGTTCTTTTAACAATCAATTTGGGTAGAAGCTTTGAGATTTACAAGATACATCTTCATATCGTAAATTCAAGATATTTTTAGAAAGAGGAATAAGTAGAAAGGAACAAAAGAGAACAAACGCGATAGTAATAACCTACAAAAAAATAGATCGTTGCGAGGGTAGAATATAACTGCGAAAAAAGCATTGCATCATTACGCATTATCATAATTTATTTTGTCAATAGTAACCTGAAGAAAAAGTTTTTTTTTTCCATCAGAACTTTCATCAGACTGCAGTGTACACTGTATATCATTTCATCATCCTTCATCATGTCACTTGAAAAGGGGATTGCAAATACCATTTTTCCCACCAAATTGATTAGTCGCATTTTCTAATTGTCTAGTTCTGCGCTCAGAAATATGATAAACATGTTGTACATATTCAGCATAAGTACCTATTTCTTTCTCTCGATTGAATTTAATTTATGTGGAACCAAGAAAAGCACATGAGACATCAGGAAAAGATACGATCCATGATATCAATGTTCTGCATGATTGTTGGTGTTGTCTCGAAAGAAATCAGCAGTCAGAAACTTGACGTTTTCTTCTACTTTCCTATCTCAATTCTATATCATCGTTCTTTTCGTTGGAAGTGTTTTTTTTTTTTTTTTTTACAAATTAGTTCGACAGAAGATAAAGAATTGAACGTGTGCGGGACTATAATTCATAGTATGATACGCATTCATTCATAAGCACAGCTATTACTTTATTACATAAGTACGCATTGTTGAGATTGCTATTTCAGAAGAGAACAATCAATAAAAAAAAAAAAAGAGAAAAATGACCACTATTGATAAGAAAAACATTCCACTTGGCGGATCAATCGTACCTGATGGTGGTTGGGGATGGATCATTGTCTTTTCATCATTCATGATCCATTTCATTATGGACGGGTAAGCAACGTTTTTTCTTATGTTGTCTACAGCTTCATACAAAAAAAAAACAAATAGGATAACGTATTCGATGGGTCAAGTGTACTTAGAACCTATGAGGAAGGAACTTTCCCTCTCTCGAGCTTCGGTGTCAAGTATATTCAGTATTATGCCGGCTGTAACTCTCGGTGCAGGTCAGCTATTATTCTTGTGAAATGAATCCTGTTTTCTAAAAATTAGATTTTTACTTTTTAGGACCAATTGCAACCGTTTTCACTAATATGTATGGATGCCGTCCAGTGGCTATAGCGGGTGTTTGCATTGCCTGTTTCGGATTTTTTCTGAGTCGCTGGTGGGCCAACATCTGGTATTACTATATAACGATTGGCGTCATCGGAGGTATGTTTTTTCATAGAGAGAGGCGATATTGGTAATGGACTAGTGCGATCAACTAGTTCGACTAAAGATCTTTTGTTTAAGAAATGCTGGTCAGTGTTCGACATGGGTCAATTTCTCTCGTTATCTATTCTTTTCTAAACATGTTTTTGATGATTGGATCAAGTTTATTCTGCTTACAAAAGGATCAATTGCTATCCAATCTTTAAGAATCGGTTATTATTTCATTTAATCTTTAATGCCATTTTTGTTTGTTGATGTTACTGACACAGTCAAAATTTAAAGTGCGACTTTTGCTAAATCTGTTGAAGAGCCGAACATCTTTTTACAAAATGAACCATATCGTTTCTATTTGTTGCACGATGGTCGAATACGATGTATCGAATGCATCGTATTTTCGGGGCTTTCGTAGATTATCCATATGTCTTGAGAGATAATGACTATCATCGTTGTCATCATCATCACTACTATCGCTTTTGAGGCATTGAATTTTTGAACCCTTCTTTCGCTCTCATCGCCCAATTGGAAAAAAACTATATGTCCTTGTGTTTGACCTTCTCTCATTCTTTATTTTCGCCGATATGGCGCAGTTTATATAACAAGGCTGCATGGTTGCATTGTTTTGCATTTTTCTTTTTCCTCTCGATTATTTAACCTGAGACTTCTATGCTACCATTGAACAAACAGCGCATTAGTTATGTATTGTTGTCTCATTCCAAAAAAGAAAAACAGTGAAATAGGAATGTAAGGTACTTAATACATAGCTGTTAGTCTTACTATGCTTTGTAACCCTATCTCATAGAATTTTAAAATAAAAAAAACTTTCCTAACCGACTCGATTCGAGTCAGACTCTGATGCTCGTTTTATCAAGGAAAAAAGTATCGTTCGAAATATCATTGTCATCAAACAGATTTCAAAAGTAATCTATGGAAGAAATAGGAAGATTCTGATCGTTTTGTTGGCTTCATTCATATATCGATATTTTCAGGCATGGGTTTTGCACTAATGTACTTGCCAGCCATTGTCTCTGTTGGCTTGTATTTTGAACGAAAACGTGCATTTGCCATGGGCATCGCTGTATGTGGCTCAGGTGTGGGTACATTTGTACTTTCTTATATCATGGATGGGATTGTCAATATACGCTCGTGGCTCAATTATTCGAGCGCATTACTTGTCGAAGCTGGTATCATCTTGTTTGGCCTTCTATGTGGCTTCTTAATGGTAATTGATTTCGTTTTCTTCGTAATTTTCCATCATCAAAGGCGATAATAATTATAGATGTAACGATATTGATTTTCATGTTGAATGAGATAAGATGTAGTCCGAAATATCTAAAAAGATGAATTGTTTATTATGCTCCTATTTTTCGAGACGATACAAAAAAATATTAAAATAAAGATTCGATACTAATTTTTTCAATGAAAAGAAGTTTTCGAATTGTCTTTCAAGATGGTAACAATTAATTCTTTGTGTAGACTCCTCTACCGCAAGAACCAAGCGAACAGCGACGCCTAGAACGAAAAGCACGCGAAGAAGAAGCTAAACAAAAACAAGTTACTGATCATTTAATTTCGCCGAATGAACCTGTAACATCGAACAATAATGCTGCCGACGGTAAATTTGTCTATAGAACTTTTCTTTTTGTATTGATTAATATGGTGCTTTTTTTATTGATTGCTCTCTTTGGGAATAGACGAACGGATGTTGCCAGTTGTTGCCATTCAGAAACCACCTACCAAATCTTTTTTTAATCAAATAATCGAACAAATCGATCTGAATTTACTCAAAAATGCTGCATTTACACTATTTGCTATATCGAATTTTTTGACAAGTCTCGGCTTCAATGCAGTTTACAACTATGCTGATGATCTTGCAAATGATTCAAAAGTCATAAAAGATCAAAGAACATATATTATTATGTCGATTGGTTTGTCGAACATTCTCGGTCGTGTTATTATTGGTTATTTAGGTGATCGAAAATCGGTAAGAAAATGTTTCGTGATGAAAATTTCTATTCATCAAAATCGATTTCATCTCGTAGATAAATCGTCTTCTCTTATTCATTCTAACATTGATCATTTCCGGTGTTGCTACTATGATAGCTCCATTATGTGGCTCTTCTGTTATTTCTCATATAGGCTATGCATCCTTTTTTGGCTTCTTTTCAGGCGGTTATGTTACTTTAACAGCCATTGTTCTTGTCGATATAGTTGGTATTGAGAAATTATCAGATGCCTTCGGTGTTCTTTTACTTTTTATCGGCATTGCAACTGCGATTGGAACACCAATAGTTGGTGAGTATTTGGTTCTAAATTACGATTGGCTTTTTTTATATTATTTTAAACATGTATTATTTCCAGGAGGAATGCGAGATGCATTTTCACATTTTGCTCGTCCTTTTCTTTGGCCTTATCTTATCTTTGGCGGTTGCACTGTTCTCAGCGGTATCATACTATTTGCCATTCCTTTCTTGCAACGAAAAATGCCAAGTGAGCATCAAATAGATATGGATTTGAATACTTATCACCCTGAAAAAGACCCATCATCTTCAAAGCAACAACAAAAACTATAATTAATGGCGTGTACTTCTTTTACCCGCGATCATAAAATTAGATTCTGAACAATACTCAAGCAAAAAAAAACAATAAGGTGCCTTTTCGAAAAAACATCAAATATTGATGAATAACAATATGCCTGATGAACAGTCAAGTATTGGGAAAATGTTGCAACAACAACATTAGGAATAGGAAAAATATTCCGTTCGAATTACGATATTCTAATAATAATGAGTCAACTTGGATAGACTCTAATGAAATCGATTGTATCAAGGTGTTTTTAAATCATATATTTTTCAATTTCTGCATTCAATAAATTCAATTCTGGATCTAATTAATTACCTATATTCTCCTGATCACAATAAACGACATTTGTACTTTTTCAATTATTTTTCTCTACTATCCTCATTTGAGCTCATATTATAACACAAGTATATCATTAATCACTTAATTTTGCAGGTTTTTGCAGTATAGAACACAAACTCATTGAAAAAACAACGAACATGTCTAATGTACTCACGGAACAGTAAAATAGGGTGTGAGTGTCATCGTTTCCTTTTCCAACACACCCACACCCTCGACTGAAGGTAGAAGTTAGTTTAACCCTTTTCCTAATATGTGCGTCTTCCTCGAAGTAGAAAGCAGGGTATGGGCGTGGGTGTAGCATTGATTCACACCCATAGACCGGCACGCACACGCACACCCGCATCCACTCCACCCAAAGATGAAAGTATCTTAATCGGTATGAGATACACAATAGGGACCAAACAAAAAATAGCATATTTGGGTGTCGGTAGGCAGAGAAAATCTAGTAAACTGAACGATAATACATATGGACCAAACATAAAGGAGGAAGAAAAAGAAGTTCATTTATTTAGAACTATACAAACCTGTAAAAACTATTCAAAATCAATGTCATATTCTTATAATATAACTGATTTATTACAGCTCTTATTATTGTGTGTACTAACCAAATTCTTTTGGAAATTGGACATGAAAATATCCAGCAATATTTTACATTGCCGTAATTCTCTAGAAATTTCGACATCGATGAAAATCTTGTAGTATTGTTCGGATTCCATTACTGTTTCGAAATTATAATGGAATTGGGACAATGTCGTAATTTTGATGATCTAGTTCTAATTGGTAAACTTCCGTTTTATCACAAATTCAATCATACTTGGAATCGGAATCGAATTTTCTTGAAGTAAACCAAACAGCTCAAAGATAAATCCAATTAAAAAAGACAATTAAAGAAATACAAGAAGACCTAGAATCATAAATAAAGTCAGCATCGATTTATCTTTAATTTAAAAGACGATTTGAACAAAACCTAAACACAAAAAAATAGGTTATTGTAGAACAAAAGAAGAATCAGCACTAGTGATCTGCGTGATTGATATTTTTGATCACGATCACGAAAAAAATTTTTGATCGCGTACGATCACGCGTGATCGCGATCGTAAGGGTGTGGGTGTGGACATCACTAGGAGTGAAGAGAAGATTCATATTCACACCCATACTTTGTAGATGATCCTATACCACTTCTTCAAAGTGAGAAGAACATTTGAATGCAACCTTCGCAAAAAACAAATCAGGTATCTTGTTTGAAAACTGTGCCCGAATGATAATTCGTTGAGACAATTTCCTGAAATTTTATTTCATCATAAGTACATTTCTCTTTGATAACATCGTTTTCAGAATTATCTGGTATTGAGTTGATCCACTACTTTTTTTCTTTGCAGGATGTATGCCACAATTACAAAGCCACAATGAAAGTTGAACATTGCTATCAATCATTATTAACATTAACGAGCATTATCCATTACTTCGTTTTCTCTTTTCATAGTCACACCTAGTTCGTTTTTTCTTATCATGTTTTAAATTATTTTCTCTTTTCATTTGTTTTATCTTTTTTCACAGTGTTTTATTTCAATAAATCATGTACACCATAAATAAAGTCTGCTTGGACTTCTAAGAACAACATCGAATATTTATGATAACCGTGGGCAACAAATCTTTTTGATTCTAAATTCAAAGTCATACGTTCAGTTCGTAATTATTTTCATTGATGACAAATATCCGAGTTTCTACAGAATCCGTCTAATACAATCAGAGTAATTATGTAGTATTACTAACAGTTTCAACATGGTTCAAAGGTCTTATTAAATAGCTATATATTCGACATTGGTGTTTACTTATAAAATGAAAATGATTGAATCCTTCCATGTTTCAAATATAATTTTAGCTTGTGAAAATTATTTGCTTTTCTTTTATTTAAAACTCGATTGCAATTCTTTCTCAAGCGTAACTTAAAATGAATATTTGATAGATATCATCAAGCAAAATCTTATTTAAAGTTTAAATTAAACTTTCCAGTTGAAATAATTAACTTTCTTTGAAAATTCGACTTCATCTAAATGTCTTCAAAAATTTTGAACATACAGCGTTTCTCTACAAGACTCCATTTTACACACTTCAACTAGAAACCTTGCCGTCACATTATTTTGCAAGAAACAGAAACTGCATTTCTCAATTATTCGTCATTTGCGTTGTTAGTTCTTCCACCTACTATGTTATTTAAAAAAAAAACAAGAAGAGAAGTATTTATCATTTTTTCCCAGCATGCTACGTAGCGACTCTTTTTCAAAACTATTCAAAGTGATCTTACTCCATTTTTCTGTTTGTGTCTTCTTATGAGAATTAAAATAATTTCAAATCTTTTTTCGCTTATTGTTGCTGTTTATTGCACATGTGTCTATTTTAAAACGACATCCGCTATTATGAGCTACTAATCAAGGTAAACAATCATGCATTGAGTTTACATTGCTTGCTCTGCATTAATATACACCAAAATGAAATGGAAGAACGAGAAAAAGAATGACCATGTGCATTATATAACAAGATCTTAGAAGCATATGATCTTCATCGTTTCATTCGAGACAAAAAAAAACATTTGTGCAGTTTGTTTCATGTGCTTTGGAACTAATTTTTTTTTTGATACTGAATCATCGTTCTCATTTGACCTAGGTAAAAATAATCAACAGTCTAATCTATTCAATTGAGGCAAATTTCATCAAACATCAATATTAAATGACGATGGTCTCCATTCGTCATCATACATCAGTACTTCAAAAGTTGCTGATCTTACAGCATAAATATAAATACTTTCTGTGAAACTTCCTTTTGCATGAATAATTTCTTCTTATATTTGTTGTTATCACTCATTTCATAAACATTAACTTTTACAGAGCATCGTTTATCGCCTTGAAAATTTCCGTGTCAATCACTTACTAGGGATATGACAATTAATATTTACTTTTAATGTAATTCACGAAGTAAATTAAATTAACAGTAATTTAAATTTGAAATAAATATAAATTATTTGCTTTTCATAATTTAATAAATCAATGGAAAAGAGACCGATGTATGTCTTGACAAAGAAGACAACTTCAATCTACTATTCTCAGCTCTTACTTTTCAACAATCGATTTAGCCGACAATTAAACAGCAATTCAATATACGTAAAATAAATATGCTTTGATTAAAATAATTAAAGATATGCAAATTTAATTTTACCAATGCTTTTCGTGTTATTTAAAAATATAAACACTCACTAGGACTCTACATTACATCTTTTTTTTTGTACAGAGAAAAATAGACATGAAAAAGAAAAAGAAAGAAGAAAAATATTAAACAATGGAGGCAAAAATGCAGTAACCGGAAATACAAAAAAAAACAGACAATAGGAAAAAGTTCTGATATGATAAAACGAATTGATATAATATTTAAAAAATTGATATCATGTTGAAAAAGGTGGAAGGAATTCAGATTTGAAAATTAAGACTAAGATCTTTACAGCAAAAGACGGCGTATACCGATAATTTAAATAAAATCGTTCTTTTTTTATATAATCAATAGACAATGCATCATAGTTCAAATCATGTTATATTTCAATAAGTTGAAAATAATTCAAATTAATCTTATGCCAAATTAAATAACATATTTAAGAAAAAATGCAAACTCGATTCTTTCTGCGTAATACAAAGTTAATTATATTTTAACATGAAGTCAAACACCTTCTGTCAATATAGTACAAGATAAAGTCTTATTTTAATAAACTAAATTCTATTTTATGACATTGATCAATAAAGATGTCAAGTATATTAACCTAGTAGCCATTATTCGTCTTCAGATAATCAAATTCTGAAAGCATATAAAATTTCTTGACATTTTAACATTTTAAAACGAAGATAATTACATGGTTTGATTTGGATAAACTTTATTAATAATTAATAATTTTGTTTACGACGATTCATAATAAACTTCACTAAAATCGAATCTATCATATAGTTGTATTGTAAATTTAAAAAAGAACGGAAATATATTCAAGGATTAAAATGGTGGTATCAATAAAATGAAATATCACATCAAAAATTTCAATCGAATATATAAAAATAAATTTTATGAATTAAAACATCATCATTGGGTGGTTGTTCTAGCTGTTTTTGAATATTGAGTTATAACATGCACCTCATATAATATTAAGGTAATTTTAAAGTTATATCGTATAAGGTTATATTAAAAACATACACATTGTCAAGTAAAACAGGTATTATTCATTATGATTTATAAATAAATTTGATATAATTTAATATAACACATTTTTAGTAGTTCTCTTGAATAAAATACGCTATAGGTAATACCTAAGTCAAATATATACAGTAAAACCTTGCATAATGAATACCTTCTTATAGTGGACACCAATTATGAATTTAAAGAGAATGTCGCAATGGTTATCATTACTCATTCAATATAATGACTCTTCTTTATTAACCGAACGACAGAACGAAAAAAAGATACATCTTACAAGGGAATATATTTGAGTGTCCCCTCGAAGAATGAGTTCAATAGCATTCTGTGTTAGGAACCTCGATGAATATATTTGGTTAAATTTACAAGAACAGACAGTTTTCTTTGGAAGAAAACAGCTTGAAATGAACATAAGTCGATATCC